CACTGAATTTCTAAACTGCAGTATTTAGTTTTCCAGCAGGCCTGCTGGTGGCCCAGCATACCTAGAGGTTCCCCTGTTAAACCTTGTTGCTCTTCTCGCTTTTGCATAGGAAGGTGATAAATAAGATGTATGTTGAATGAATTTGAAAAAGTGTCCATATAAGTTAAATTGCATTTTGTTCATACAGTAGAACTCTCTTCAGGCATGATTTTAAAGACAAAAAGGAAATTTCACATTGGAAGCTAGACTTTGAAGTGCAGAGCAATGAACTATAATTATTTTAAAGACCAGCGTTGACAAGAAATAGGGTACTAAGATGTAAAAACAGTAAAACATGTCAGAATTGGAAAGCTGGAACTGTATTCACAAGGATCCAGACTATTCTGGTTTTGTATTAGATATTAATGATTTAAATGAAAAAATACAAGCAAGCCCATCTTGGTAGCAATGAAGTGGAAAATTAAATGATGATATGACATGACATGGTATGATATGACATGACATGATATAGCAAAGTAAATGAATACAGTTTGAATTGCTTTGTTTACACAAATAGTATAAAAGATGACATTCTCATTTCAAGGCAAAGAATCTATATTATGGAATTCATAACAGGAAAAAAGGAAAGGAAGGAAATAAAGTCTCTACTAAAGGTAACTCACGATACTTCCTTGTGAAGATGCTTTGTGGTAACTCCCTTCAGCCTTGACCCTGGTGATAAATAAAATACCTAGCACTGACCTGCTGCGAAACACTGCAGAACTCAAAATAGGTGGTGGGACTGCACTGTGCTTCCATCCAGCATGTTATATATGGAGCTCTTCAGTCTGCAGCAGGAAATAATGCAGTCCTCCCAAGACACCACAGCCAACAGTACCACACAGCTGGGGCCAGGTTTCAAAGATCTAAACAGGGAACCAGTTATGACTGAAGAAATCCTAACTGTCATTCTCAAATCACTTTGAAACGTTTGTGCTTCCAAATAACACAAACCCAAAAGGACTTGTTTTGTAGTTAAAAACTGTCATAAAAAAGATTTTGAGTGGAACAAGGACCACTGTGAGCTATCAATTACTAAGACTTGTGAACTCTAGGGGATTAATTATTGTTAGAGGGTGTTCAAAGCTAAAGATGGAGACACAATCAGTCATTACAGATATAGGAAAACACTGGACAAGAGAATTATTTCTGACATGATTCATTTGTGATCTGGTGGAACAGCCCAACCAGTTTCACATTTCTTAAAATAATGTCCTAAACAATTTTTTTCTGCTGGAAGGCCACAGGGAGAAGTGTAGAAGCGCAGCTCTGCCAGAAAGCAGTCACTACAGCAGATTGCTTCATGCCTTCTCTTTTTGGAATGACAAATCTAATAAGGAGTGTTTAGCATAGAGAGAGCCAAATTCCTCCTGATGGAGGTAGAGAGGCTCCATTTATTATCCGTAAATCTTGTTGCAGAGGCAGCTCAGAGAACAGAATGAAATCAGAGGTCCTTAGACTCTTGCTGCCCTTGTGTTGCCTTAATGTTCCTTTACACAGGGAGCCAAAGACCTCCTTGGCATAGGCTCAGTGACTGTTTCGAGTTATTCCAAGGATGGACTTGGCTCAGAGTTTCATTTGTGAGTTGCAGTGGAGGGGTTTTTTTCTTCTTTTTTAATATACTTCATCCATTTCCACATCTTTGATGCTTTCCAGAGCAGCTCTTTTTCTCATTGTCAGCTTCAGTTAAGGATTTCCTAGGACTATGTGACTTTTCCCTGAATGCCTACAGCAGGCTTCTGCTAGTGCTGATCCTAGCTGTCACTTGCAGAAATTTTATTCCATTTTCCAAACTTAAAATTGGATATTGTATTGAAAATGAATGGCTGGCAATTTGGGGATAAAAATTAAAAATCATTTATATTGCTGGTAGTTGTCTGAAAAGCTATCTGGATATTTCTCCTAGGGGCATGAACATGTTCCCACCAGCAATTTCATGACAGAGCAAGGTGACTTCATATCCACCTCCATTTTAGGTAACTAAATTCTCAGGTTTAAGCCACTGTGATAATTCTGGTGCAGGCTAAGAACTAAACCCTAACTTAGGATGAAAATGCTTCAGTTAAAAATCAACACCAAACAAATTATAGCAGGTGTTAACATTGCCCAGGTGACTGATAAGATTGTTATAATTTCTTTTCAGTTTTCCAGAAATTAAACTAAAGCAATTTAAACCTGTCCAAGCTTGGCTAGCACTTGCCTGCAGTCATGCTTGAGGTTTATGCTGGAGCAGCTTGGTGTGAGTTTTCTTCCACTTTCTGTATGGGGAGTCATCATCTTAAGCCCTTGGAATGAGAGGGTAGACAAAGTACCTATCTATCTATCCTTTCTGGGGAGGCAGATCTTGTTCCCTGCCCCATTCTTCCTGGAGAGAGCCAAGCAGGGGAAGCACTGGACTTGTCTTTGGGAGCTCTGCCCTCCTTTATTTCTGCTGCGTGGAGGAATTAATAGTTTGAGCCCTTTCTTGTCTTGGACATGTATATTGGGTCAGCACAGCTACAGCTTCTTAGCACTGCTAGCTGATCCCAGTGGTGTCGGCTAGGAACAAAGCATATTTCTGATATGGGAAGGATAACTCTGCTCATAACTACCACTACTAGAAATATATTACACCTATTTTTGGCTTCAGCTAGGCTTGAACCTTATAAAGAGATCAATGCTAGAGCTTGTGCATAACTGCACTTCTGCTCTTGGTTGGCAGAAGAAACCAATAATCTCTGCTATTTCTTCAGCTAATTTTTTTGTCACTTCTCACTAGCTTGTAATCTTTTTTACTGCTAGTGTTGTTTTTAAGGCTTAGGATAAGAAACACATATTTTTGCTGTTTAGGAGCAGCTCATCATTTCTAGCTCTTCCTGAAGGACATACTTGTTACCAGTGAGGAAATCTGCAAGTCTCATCATAATTGCAGTAAATAACCTGCTCTGCAGTACATAAGCTCAAACAACATTTTTCATCTTCATATTACAAATGTAACAGGAAAACTCATGGCTAAGGAGAATGAAAATGGGAGAGATGTAGAAAACGTAGAAAATCAAGACACGATTACTGTCTTGTCACTTATGGCCTGCTCTGGTTTAAAATGTCTTATTTCAAATTTATTCTTGCTTTTTTCCATAGCCTGTCCAATCAGAACAAAAGAAAAGCTGAAATGGTTTTAAATGTTAAGACTATGATATTCAATGCTGACTCTGTTGCTAGAAGCTAAATTCTTACCCAATCCATTAAAGGGCACTGGTTTCCCATGTCATATCTAGTTTTGATCACAGCAAAGAAATGAGAAACAATAAAAACAGACATAATGTGAAACAGATTTTTCACTTTCTGCTTGATTTTTTTTCATTGTTTTTTCACTTTTGAAAATATCTGCATAAGAGTTGATGCTCTGCAAGAAAAAGACCTTTTATTTTCTCAGTTCATGTTGGAAAATCTTGCCTTTAAAACAAGATGCTATCTTGTAGTGTGCTATAAGAGTGCTGATGCTGACTGGGTGGCTAAAGTTCCCCACAGTGGCTGGTGACATTTCAGAGGGAGACTTATACAGCTTGTGAGCAGATCCATTTCTAAACAGACCAGATGAAGTCTATCCTGGAAAAGCTCCATCCCTGGTTCAATGCATCTCACTCAGATCGTATGTTGACTGATACCAGGGCTTAAGTCAACCCATCCAGGTGAAACTTTGTCCATCTCAAAAATAAAAAAGAGGCAGTAGTCAGAGATTTGTAACTGATATGAAGACTGATGTTAACCTGCCTCCTGATAAACTGAAACAGGAGGCATGAAGCCAAGCTGATATGCCTGATTAAAAATCTACTCAAGTGGGCTCCATAAGTGGAGTAAATGGGTTAAGAGATCCAGGGACTGAGGTTTCTATTCTACACTGTTTTCCTTTAGTTCAGCATCAAATAAGATCAAGACTACTGCTTTACTCAGTTTCATACTGCATTAGCAACATCTTGCTTGCAGGCTCAGCAAGGCCTTAAGTTCCACCAAGCAGAATCAGGCTTTATTCATTTAATCTGTTTTGATGGAGCGCCACTTTGTGATGATATGCAGTAAATACTAAATCAGATCTTTAGAACATAAATCACATAACTGCATATTTAGAAGTGTTCCTCACAGCAAGAGTTCACAGTCAGAGCTGTAATTGCGCAGACCAACAGAGCAATTGTATCCCAAGCTACCAGCTTGCATGCGTGTTATAAGCAATCTCCTGAAAACTGGCCCTATGAAAGGGGAAGAGGAATTTAACATGTTTTAAAGTTTGAAGTCAGTGTTCAAAATTTATTGTTCCTCTGTGCATTCTTTAGGCTGTGACTGCCTCGAATTACTCAGCAAAGGTAAATGAGCCTAGAAAAGAGGGGAAATGTTTGAAAAGGCTTTGAAAGATGTATGTGATTTTTGCTGGATTTTTGAGCCTTTGGAGATGTCGTTTCCCAAACTATACATGGAAGTTCAAGAAAATCTTTGCTAGTAAGAGGAAAAAGTAAAAAAATCCAAACCCTGAAAACCCAAACAATACACAGCAGGGGTAAAAAAGGAAGAGGTAGTTGCAAAGGTTGAGGGTTTAAAGCAGTTACACCTCTATCTGCAAACCTTTTCTGAAAGCTGTTGACAGAGCTTTGGCATCTGATCATCTCCTGACTGTTGATTAACATAACACTGTTTTATATGTAACTCAGGCCAGAGCAGGAGGGGCTGGGGGTGGGGTTGCACTGCTTATAAGGGGAGCACGGCAGGAACAATGTTCTTCTGTGTCAGTTCCTTCCATCTCCCAGCACAGCTGCACTCCTTTTGATCATTCGCATTTCCTCGAAATGCATGTTGTCATTAATTAATTGAGTGTCTCATGGAAAGCGAAGTGGGGGAGACGGGCAGAGAACAGCTATAGCTACACAATTAAAATACAAACCAAGTCTGCTGAGTTTACTGAATGCAAGTGCTGAAGTGACTAATCAGCTTTTTTACAGTTAATGTTTTGCTCTGAGGACAGACCCAGGACCAGAGATGGAGGGCATGGATTTTGAGGATAAGAAGTCCAAGAGGTACTGCATGAAGACAAAGCATGTGGCTATCATCTGTGGCGTTGTGGTCATTGTAGGTCTTGCCGTGGGGCTTGGCGTGGGATTGAGCAGACCTAAATCCCAGCAACCTTCGGGGGAAACAGATCAGCCAACAAACCCTCCTCCCTCAGTGGATTTGAGTCCCTGTCCTTCTAGAGATGATGAGACTGGAGACTGGAACAATTTTAGGCTGCCCACTTATGTCAAGCCTATCCACTATGATCTGGAAATAAAGCCTGAAATGGAGACAGACACTTACACTGGCACAGTCAGTATTTCGATTGCTTTGGAAAAACCTACCAGCTACCTGTGGCTCCACCTGCGAGACACCAAGATTACGGAAATGCCGACACTCCAGAAATCTTCAGGACAGCAGATTGCTGTGAATGACTGCTTTGGTTATGAGCCACAAGAATACATAGTCATGAAGGCAGAAACAGAGCTCTCTGACACTGATGAAAGTGATCCCTATATACTCACCCTGAAGTTTCAAGGCTGGCTGAATGATTCCCTGGTTGGGTTTTATAGGACCACCTACACTGAGAACGGACATACCAAGTAAAGCAGTTTTTCTTTTATTTATTAAACTTTCTTCTCTATTTCTTCCTCAGGCCTGCTCTATTCCTATTTCAGCTTCTCAGTCTTGTCTCTCACCAATTTGCTGACATTTCTGGGCTGTTCTTTAATTTTCTCATTCCCCAAAGGAAGATGCTGTATTCAAAACCCTTTGGCTGCTGACAAGTGAGTGTGGGCTGGAGAGATGAGGGGGTTGTTATTATTCTGAAAAACTTTTTCAAACTCTACTGGTCCCAGGTTACCTGTGAGCTTTACAAACGGTTCTCTCAAAGAGCTGGAGGGATTGAGGCCTGTTTTTATAAACAGCATACAGCTCTCCCCACTCTCTCCTGTCACTCCCCAATGTAACAGGTTTAGCATAAAATGCTTTTGTGATAGTTTTCTTGACATCATGCCTCCTTGATGTTGTAAGCCTGAGGAATATCCAAACTTCCTTGTCCCTCCTGCAGCTGGTTTAAATTATGGGTATGAAAGTCCAAATGATTAAGGTTATCTTTGACTTGGATTTTTTTGTGCTCCAGCTCTTCCTTTGTAACATATCAATAGTTATTGAAAGATTACAAAGCCTCTGACAGTTCAGTTAACCCATTCCACTTCCCAGGTTTGCACTGTTTCCAGGTGGAAGCTTGAAAAAGCCACTGCCCACTGCTCAGGGGCATTTATTCACAGTTAACATATGAAGAGGACACTGACTGTTTTTCTATATTTACATTTCTGAAGTGACTCATTCCAGCCTTTACATCTAGAAGATAAACTTGATAGACTTTTCCAAGGCCCTGTAGCAGGAACATGGAGACAAACACTGGTGTGTTTCCACTTGTTTGCCTCCCTGGGACAATTGTGTTACGAGTGAGGGTTGCATCAGCTCCAGTTCAGGTGCTGGCGGGCAATGCCAGGAGTAGCAGCAGTGACAGGCACCAGGAGCAGCAAATCCAAGAGGCAGAGGAGAAAAGCAAGCATTAATTTCTCATGCTTAAACATATTTATCTGATGTGGGAAGAAGCACGTAGAGAACAGCTTGGACCCCTAACAGCTCTTTCCCTATTGTTTTCCTCCAACTACCACCTCTGTATTGCTCTGACTTGGAAGGTGCTTTGGTTTTATGCTTTGAGCATCTTACATGCCAGCAGAATTTTAAAATTTAACCTCCTAGCATCTTTCTAAGTTGAGGTGTGTTACTTCCTTTTTATTAGTGAAGGATACCTAGATACTAAGTGAATTGCCCCAGGTCTGTCACAACACCAGAACAGCAGAACCAGAATGCAGGTCTCCTGAGTCACAGAGCAGAAGAGGTGAGTGCTCATCCTTCAGATCCAGACAGTGTAGGAAGACAAGGACCAAGCATCTAATGCCAGGAAGAAAAGAGAACTTCGTAAACTAAAGAAAGCATAAAATGTGAGCTCACTTCAGGAGAGTTCCTACTTCTTGGTTTGGATGCTGGAAGGTACAATTGCAAGGGTGATCTTAGCCAACAGTCTGACACACTCAATACAAAAAGGAACTTGAGTGTGTGTGTTTGTTTGTTAAGCTTGAGAAGGGCTTTAATAAGAACAAGCGAATGGTTATTTCCGTAATGATTTCTATGTGGTTAACTTTGGGCAGATTTTCTGTAGGAGTGGAAGAAGCAATGTACATGATAGTGATAAGTACAGCTTTGAAATGAAAGCAACCACCAGCCAAATGGTGTTGCACCACCAGCCAAGTTGCTGCTACGTGGCATGAGGGTAGGTGATAGGATGGGGTGAAGAATGATGGCAAGAGAAGGATTTTATTACTTATTGAAACTGCATTTTCCCCTGGCTTTCTACTCAAAAACAATGCTGACTAGAATTAACTTTTTTTACTTCAGCTTTGGCTGAGGCATACATCAACCTTGGAAAATTTCAATCCAAATAGTTCCTTTTTTGTCATGTTGTATGTAAATACAAATCAGATCAGGTAATAGAAAAAGTCAAGCAAGTCTATTAGTAGTGGATGTTAGAGAGAAGGGGACTGAGGTGAAAATGAGAGCCAACATGTAATTAACCTATTCCCCCTCCCTTCTGGGCAGTGTTAGAAACACTGGGACTTTTTGAGCAAATTAATAATGCTGGAAAGTCAGATCCCAGAGCTGAGCTGCTCCCCAGCTGTCTATCTGTGAAGGCAAAGGTTTGCCAGAGTATTGATATAATGCCTTTTGTTTACAAACTGGGCACATGTCCATGCTCTGCTTTTGCTTAGATTCAAATCTCCCACCACATTTCACAGAAAACAGGTAGACACGTGATGAACATGCCTGCAAGTCTGGTATCCTTGTGAGGCTTAGGGAAAAGAACACCTCATTTGGGAATCCTGTTCAGACAGATCACACAATCCCCATCAGGACAAAAGTGCTTTTGGACATACTCAGAAGAGGATCTGGAGATACCTTGGGAACAAAACTATTTAAATTGGCATGCATATGCGGGTTGGGAGCAGGAAAGAATAAAATTTGAGAATGCAGATTTTAGATTAGACCTACCTAGATCCCCCTGTGGGTGCCCAAATCCAGCTGTAAGAACTGAAGTCCTTTTGTAAAGCTGCTACTTTGTCTGTGCAGTTCATTTCCCCATTGATGAAAGGGGAATAACAGTTCTTCCCTACTTTGCATGATGCGGTGAGCATGAATATGTTGTTTTCAAATATTTTACAGAAAGGAGCACAACAACAGGGCTTACATGGTGTAATGGGTTCTTTTAACTCTAGTTCCTCTCAAGGAATGTACTAAAACCCCCTTTAAGTTTCTTAATATTACAGACAATACAAAAATGTCACAACTGTTTTTTATTTTGCATTACTATTAGTGGCAAGGTATGGCTTCCCTTATATAGGAATTCTCTCTGTCCTCCATACAAGAAAAACAAGAAGATTATCAAAGATACTTAGCTGGGCACATGTCTAACAGAGAGACTTGCATTTAGGGTTTTATTGATTAGGGAAAGGCAAAACATCCTTTAGTATATAGAAGTAGCACTTCTGGATTTCTTCCTCAAGGAGAAAATTTTCTCAGAAGCAGCAATGAATCTGAATTTTAGGAAAGACTAGGAGAAAAATGCCTTAATTGTCTCTGGGGGAGGAGTTTTTGCACCACCCCTTCTGCTTTGGAAATAAAAAAGGAGGGGCGATGGTGGAAACTCATGGTTCTAAATGCAGCACTGTTTTATTTTGGGAACAGCTGGATGTAGTTTCAGCCAGATCTTCATTCCTTATTACTATGATATTTACAACTGTCACCTCCAGTTCACGTTTAAAGGTCTGGTTATCAACAGAAAGTAGAAGGGCAGAAGCCACCAAGCAATGAAGAAAATCTTATCCAAAACCTACATTATAAAGTGTGAAAGGAAATGACATTTCATGTTTCTAGTGCCACATCTATGCATGTCATAGCCTGGACTTCTCATCATCTATCCCATAGTGCTAAGGTTTTGCACTGCTGATGTCTGTCTGCCTCCACAAATATATGAGGATAGATGGGTTATCACCTTATAAATCAACAGAGATATCACAGTGTTATCAGTCTGTAGGAACAAGATATAAATGTGTCAAAACATAGAGCCAATTTTTTAAGCAAAACTGTGAAACATTGCCCTGGGGACTTGAAGTTAACTTAATTGTGAAATACCTTTCAAATCCTACAGAAAGTAGAAGGTGACATAAAAAAAAAAATACCAAGCAAAAAAAGAAACTCTGTTGAGCCTGAAGTTATGTTAAGGTGAATGTTCATTATGCTTTCTGCCCATAAACTTTTGAGTTACTATGCCTGTGACCATGAATAGAAAGAACCCAGACATATTACGTCCATCAGGCTTGTAAATGACTCTTGCTGCTACAAGTTCCTGATGACCAGTTTAGTATTTAACTGTCACAAGGAATTGCCAAGGGCAACAAAAACATTGAAAAATTGTTTGTCAAGTGAACTTGCAGGATTGCTGCAGATCAGTAATTTATGATGTGCACTTTTAATTACTTTTTGGAAAGAAAAACTACCTTAATATTGTTGGAGCAGCTGTAGAAGTGCTGTCAGAAAATGCTCAACATTCCAGATTAATTGAAGAAGCATCTGTGATCCCTTTCACCATCAATCACTGGAGAATATGCTCTGCCACTACATGGGGGGGCCTGATGTCACTGTGAGAAGGGAGCACATGATATGAATGTTGATAAATTTCACCTTATTTTTTATGTGATCCTCATTGTCTAGCTCCTCCAGTTGTTTTTGAATAACTGAGATGACTTTCTAAACCCCTGCAACACAGCTAGCATAGCATCGGTTACATGCTAGGATGTTCACCTGAACTTTACATGCTTCCTCCAGCAGTTTCATCAATTAAGTCAGGGGAGCACCAGCAGAAAACTGTAATTGGTCACTGCAAAAAAAAGAAACACACAAACAGAATGAGATTTTAGGAGCACTTACGCAATTTCAAAGTGTCTTCTCAGGAGATGTTCAAGACTCCAATCCCAGCATATGCTCTAGTGGGTAAAAGACAAATGGAGTGATTTAAGTAAACATGCCTATATCAGGACATTAATTTTCATTCAGATTATAATATTAGTAATTTATTTTAGACACATAAATCAATGGGAAAGATCGTCAGGAAGGTGAGCAAAATTTTTACCATCCACGAGGGGACATTCCTAACTTATTGCCTGGCTTCTAAAAATTTTTGATGATAAGCAACTGGCATTGGCTTTTGCTCTGAAACTTAGAGAATGTTGATGACAGACTTTGGGGTATACGTGTTACACATGCCTATATGATGCCAGCTTCTGCATTTCTGATGTCCCCTGCTTTTATGAATGGAAAAGTACACACAAACATTTGTAGTTGACTTTAGTTTATGAAATTGCTAAAAGATCATGCTTAGAAATTGCAGATAGGATTTAAAAGGTATGTAATGAAGGTTTGCCAATGTGTTGTTTGTTTAAGGAGCATTGCAGCTACAGATCATGAGCCAACAGATGCACGGAAAACTTTTCCTTGCTTTGACGAGCCCAACAAAAAGGCAACTTACAACATATCTATCATCCATCAAGACACATACCAAGCACTATCAAACATGCCAGTACAGGTATGTATTTCCCAGCTCTGCTGCCTAAGTGGAATGGTTCTTTTTATAAAGCCACTGGAAAGGTAACATGGATCGCAAGGGCCTTGCACATTCACAGATTCTAGTACCCAGACACTGTAAAGCAAATGGCTAATAAATATTCCATACAACAGGACTGGTTGGTTGGTTATGAATCCCAGTGGTCCACCACGCACAGCATGGCAATACAGAGCCAAATCCAAAGCAGAAACGAAACATCTCTTCTGTCTTCTGCTAGCTGGCCCTCTGTTCAGATATTCTAGATAAGCATTCCGCACTAACTATAAATAGGTAATGGTAGGTTCTTCAGTCAAACCAGGTGGACTCTGAGAAGGAATGCTCTGGAAGACAGCTGCTTTCCAGATGGGAAGTCTAAAATAATCACTGAAACAACATAAAAATCCAAAGCAAGGCTCTGCTGATCACAGTCTGCTGGCAAAGGATCCTTCTAGCAAGAAAGTCTAGGATTATTTTTAATAACACAGAAATTAAAACCCATCTGTCAGACCATGGGTGTGGACACATGTCAGTCCACCATGACCGTAATTTCCTAAATAATCTATTTCTGGACCTGGTGGTTCAAATTCCAAGTTTTGTACGAAATACAATCACATCAATTATTTACCTCTGGGCCTTCTGGAAGAAGATTGAATGGCTTTCATCTGAGAGAGTTTCTAACGAACAGTTTAACTGAATGTGTAGTTCGATGTATAATGTCTAATAAATATGTTCTGAAGGGGGAGATAAAGTGCCAAGTAAAAAAAAAAAATAAATGAAGGAAGAAATAAATAAAGAGCTTCCAGCCTCCAGGCTGTTGACATTTGCATCTTCCAAATCACTCCCTCACCCAGAAAGAAAAAAGGTCTGCTTTAATGTGTAGTTTTATTTAAAGAGTCCCCCAAACCTTAACTATCCCCTAGCAATGCAGTTGAGACAACTATTACCAATCTGTTACAGCTGCCTCCCAGACCCTTTGCAAACTTGAAGTTCTGACTTATTGTTATTAAAAATATTTCTATGATATAGCACCAGCCACTTTGATGAACAACAAATGACAATATTTGCTGTACCTTTTCTTACAGACCTCAGATAAGTGAGGGTACTGGCAAGGAAAGTGAGTGTATGTGGCTAGATGTTGTGGAGGTTTAGTCAGTTTTGAGATTTACTTTACATCTTTACATGCAGACCTTGCCTCTAGTATGGACATACATACAAAAAAAAGCTTTCAAATTCAAAGGTCTAGCTACCACTTGTTGATTAATCTTCTAAAATCCAAGTACAAGCAGGGAAATGTATATTTTACTGGGTTCATATTCAGGCTTGACTAACGGATTATAGCAGTGCACTTTTTCATATGGTGTGCTCACGAGGTCAGTAGCTCTGTTCTTAGCAGTGAAAGCTCTTTGGGAAATCTTTTAAATGGATGGAAATGTAATCATTAGTAAATACAAAACATGTTGTGTGTTACATATCCTGTAGTCGTTTTGGTGGAGTGGAGCTTTCTAATCAGCACAGCAAAATAAACTCAGCAAATTCAGAAACCTGTATATTTTATTTACATTTTTCACTGGAGTTAAATTTTATTTTTTTAGTGAAGTTCTGATTTTGTTAGAAGAACAAAATATATCAAAATAGAGTTAAAATGAGTCAAATAATGTAAAAGTAGATTGTGAATATCTCTGTGAAAAAAGAAATATGTGAAAAGGGGTTTGGTCTTTTTGCTCATGAAATCATGGTCATATTACCTCTAACATTCATTATCTGTGCTTTATTTACATTGTATTTATAACAATCACATCTCATGAAGTATTGTATCTAGTAGAAGGTTAGTGTCTTTTATATGCTGTTTGCTTTTACCCTGTGTAAGTTAGTCATCCAGTCAGAAGCACAAAAAAATTACCAGACAGGCAACAGCAGATAAGGAACAGCAGAAGTAAATATTTAGAGGATGAATCACACAGAACAGGTTGCAGGTTTGGTCATATAGTTCAGTTGAGAGTTAAGGACATTTGGGAAAATCAAGAATGGTATTTAAAATATAAAAACTATGCTCAGCACTAAACCTTATGTACAGTTAAACAATCCACCAACTAGCAGGGCTAATTTGTATCTAAACAAGTTCAGAATATGTTCATTAGACTTGTCTTTATCTTAAGTAGCATCTCTGCAACCCGTGCCTCCTACATGATGCATGTATTTAAGAGAGGAGAGACTCTAGCCTTTTCTCTGACCTGTCCAAAGCAATGTTTTATGCAACTATTTCAAGAACAAAACACACTAGCATATACTGGAAAACTGCTGCTGGCAAAACGCCTGTGCATCTGAATGATTTCAAATTATTGATGAAAATTAGAACCAGGTAAAGTTATTTGGTGAAAAAACACAAAGTCCCATTTTGTGTATTGGAGTATTGCACAAAAAAAAAACCATTTTATCTGTTCTCATGCCATCAGCACTGAGATGCCAGAAAAGGTGAACCTGGAGAGGTGATTTATGATTCCTGTGTAGTTTCAGCCTCTAAAGATGTATTGTACCCTATTCTGCATGTGTTTGCAATTCCAAAAATCAAATTAATTATTTTTCCATTTCTGCAGCAAACTGTACAGCTGGGCGGTAACTGGACTCGGACAACTTTCGAGAAATCAGTTCCCATGAGCACATACTTGGTATGCTTTGCGGTGCACCAGTTTCAGTGGATAGAGAAAATATCTGCTAGTGGAAAACCTGTAAGTCCTGTTGCCGTCTGAACATGGTTCAGATGACAGATGTACCGTGATTTGTATTTTTAAAAAAAACACCAAACATCTCTTTTTATGATACGAACAGGAACATTTTTCCCCCTTTCCTATGTCTGTGTTATGCAGCCTGTTTTATCAGATCAGGTGTTCACAGTGGTCCTTATGACTTTGACTACATACAGTGTTTTGCAGTCCTTCCCTGTCTTCCATCTTGGTGAGATTCCAGTCAGTACCTCCCATATAGGCACGTAGGTGAGGAAGGAGCACTATTTCTCCAACTTCCTTAATGATGTGAAGCCCAGAGTCAGAGGGAACGTACAAGTTCAGGAGTACGAGACATTCACGGGCTATAGATACAAACACTTTACAACTTTCTGTGGATTAAAAGGCGTGAAGCTATTGCACTTGATGTCTTCCTATTTACTGTCATGGAGACATAGGACTACAATGCTTTGTGCCACTATGTACTAGCTCTAATATTCTTTATTTCGCAAGTGTCTAAAGGTAGCTGCCCAGTGTAAGTTCTTTACAAATAAGTATTGAAGTGGCAATAAATAAGGAGTGATAGTGCCTGCCTAAACAGCTGGATATTTTGTAGATGCCCTAATGAAGTGAATATGTTTGAATTTGAATCCATAAAATCAAAATAGCACCTTTATTTAGAAGCAAAAGGTAGTACAATCCAGTTCTCACTTGGATTGAAATCTCCTGAAGGTGCAGTTGATCAGGCTTAAGGAGATCACAAGACATTACATTGAATCACAACCTGAAAGCCTAAATACAATTTACCTCTCAACATAAACTCCTCATTTAGCCTAAACCTAGTCTGGGATGCTCAACCCACTGTTAATTATTTATTGGTTTCCATTTTAGGTTAATCTGAGACAGATGATGATGCCAGGATTTTAAGCTCTTGCTGCTTCCCCTTTCTTTCCCCTTAGGGATGCAACACATAGTTTTGCAGTTCAGCTGAGCTGGCAATGCTTTCCTCCTCTTCTGGAGGCAAATGACACTGACGGACAACGAATCTAGAGCAAAGCCCCAGCCAGACCGCTGTTCCCCTAGCAAGGAAGCTCTTCCTGCGTTTCTCTATCTGAAAAAACTCAGCAAATCCTTCCCTACTTAAGGCTGTCTACTGCTGTGAAAATATGCCTTGTATAATCTCCAAAGTGCTGATCCAGTTCTTAGCAAAGACTTTTTGGCATAGCGCTGTGCTGAGGCCTCCCTCCTCTACACCCTCGCTAGCATCATGTCTATGTTTATATTATTTCTTGACAAATAACTAAGGCTAAATTACACTTAGCCAAGCAAATGGAGCCTGGTTTGAGATAGCAATGCAACATTCTTAGATCCCTGCTGTTTGGCTTAGTAATTTGTAAAACAGGAGAATGTTTTAGGCCACCCAGTCACACAATTTTGTTAACCAGATGCTCTTCAGCATGGCTGCTCCATTCAGTGTCACAGACAGGACTTTGGCCTTGATAGATATTCTCTAGAGTTTAGTTAATTTAAGAATCACGACTTGTGCAGATTTGTAATTGGGGGGGGGGGAACCAACAAAAAAAATATGCAAAACTCTATATTCTAGATGCAAAAGTTAACATTCTCTGCTTGACCGTGTCATGCTTCAGAATATGGCTCTAAGTTTTTCCCCCCCCCAAGAAAAACAGTAAAGCCACAATGTTCCTGACTGGTTGTAGCTCTCCTAAATAAAAGGGAGTGTTCACTGAAGAGTGGTAATTAAAGTGTGTTATGCAGAAGCAGTGGTGTTCGTGTCAGTACAGAGGTTGCCTGAAGAAACGTCTTCTAATTCAAGCCTTGGTTACTACATATTTTACCAACGCTATTCACTAAACAACGTCTGAGGGCTTGCCTGCACTAGAAAATGTGGGGGTTTAAGAGAGGTTAAAATCATAACCATTTCCTTTCCCTTACCATGAACATTAGCTTTAGGAATATAAAGTATATGTGTAAGAATGGTCTTAATTAAGGGAGCCGTTTAACCTCCATAACTAAAAACTACCGTTTCTCCAGGAAAACCAGGCTATCTTTGGAGTTTTTTAATCAGATATTGAGAAAGTCCTTCTCCTAACCAAATTGTTCCTTTCCAAAATCTTTGAAGCCTAGCTGAGCAATGAGGTATTTAGATTCACTGGCTGCTGAAAAGAACATTCCACAGTTTACTGTATAAATTGCTAGATATAAATCCCTCATCCAACAGAAAGAATCCAAGTGATCCATATATTGCTTTCATAAACAACAGCAACAGCATACAGCTCACATGGCACAGTAAATTATTTAAAAAGTCCGCTATTCTCTCTGAAAGCCATTGCCTTAACAAAGATATTAATGGAATCAGGAGTAGGAAATGTGCTTACAGCTGGAAACAATGTTCCTGAGCTGATTACCTGTCAGGTACCAAATGTCTGGTTTGGAAAATCACAGAGGAGATTATACAAATGAAACCCAAAGTCAGTTCTAGTGCATGATGAAGATTTTGGGAACCATTAATATGGATCAGCTAGGGGACCAAAGACTGCTAAATTGGGTAAAGAGCTTACTGAAGTGGAAATTGCAGACTGTAATTGCAAACTGACCCTGAGGTAAATCCCTGGGCCTGGAATGAATTCCCGATTGCATTTCATAAGCTTTTTTTGGTTTTGTTTTTTTCATTCCAGCTTTATTTCTGACCACTTTCCCATCCTCCCCTCTCACTGGAGGAAGTGTAATTTCATAGTACTGAAATCAATCTGTTGTCAGGCTCCAAGGGGGCTCCTAGAGTAGGCCAACTTCTTGGCTCCATTTGGACCCTAAACTCCTGGCTGTAAGACAGCACTGAGGAGTAAACAAGCCACACCAACACAGCCAGAAGAATGTGGCCCATTCATAAGAGTCACAGAGCCTGCAAAATGAGATGCCAGAAACTTCATTCCAAATAAAGATCTATTACTTTCCACACCAGAGATTTTGGGGGACAGTGAAGAGAGCTCCTGCCAGTGAATACTCCAGTACCATGGCTCTGCCCTGGGGCAGAGATATGTGTGAGCTCTTGGATGAAGAGATTGAGACTCCATAAATTCTGAAGTTGAACTTTGTCTTCATGATGTGGAGATAACATCCCAAAAAGATTTTTCAAGCTGTAGGCCTCCTCATCCTTATGAGTACCATAAGGACTCTAGTCCTCCAGAACATAAGGTTTCCTACTGCTTGACAGTAACAGCCAAAGCAGTCCCAGGCACCGAGATGCAGGGATGGAAAGGTCAGCACTCAAGACACTACTTTTTGTGTTCTGGAAAAAAAGAATGCTCGGATATGCAAAAGGAGCAGAGAAATGGTCCCTCATCACACACAGAGCTACCAAACATGCCAGTTTTCCTGGATCTGCCTGGTTGGAGGAGAGCCAGAGTTGATTTTTGTCTGG